GTGTGTGTGTGTGTGTGTGTGTGTGATTTATTTTTTCATATAAAATTATTCCCTTTCCTTCCTGTTGTATTACCAATTATGGAATAAATTTGTCTAATCAAATTATTTTATCTAGACATTTGACGAGTGTATAAATAGTGGTCAACCTGACTGTGATCCTAATAACATGTGGCTGCAGATTCCATTTTTATGTGGCCATGATCCAGCTTGTTGGTAAATTTCTTCTTTTAAAATAGTTTTAGAAAAATAGAACATTTTAAACAAATCTTTATCTCAATTTTATATTTTCTTAAATGAACAAGATATAATAACCATTATTAGAGTGTACTTTATTTATTTTGCAGGGAAATTGGTAATAGCTGGGCATTAGAGGAAGCCAAACGGAATCTACAAAGGTATTACTTTCTGGTTGGAGTAACGGAGGAGTTAAACGAATTTGTAGAAGTATTGGAGAATGTATTACCACGGTTTTTTAAAGGGGCACACAACTTCTTCTTACATAGTAAGTATTTGTGAAAATAAATTAATTAGAAGGGATTCTTCAGAAGGTATAATGATATAATCTTTTATTTATTACATTATCACAGTTGAAATAATATCAAAAGACATCAATGCTTTCTTTGATTTTTAGATAATAAGTCACACTTACGACAAACTACACAAAAACTCAATCCATTACCTGAAACAGTAGACATAATCCAGCAATCGATTGTATGGAAGATGGAAAATGAATTCTATAATTTTGCTTTGGAACATTTTCATGCTGTGAAAAGACGACTCATAAATGCTTCCCCTCAAGACGTAAATCAGCGTTTTATGTATGAAAAAATACGGCCAAAATAAACTACTGTAAGAAATTAGAGGAAATAGGCACAACAAAGAAACTATCGACATCAGGACTGTGTGGCAAAGATGGATATTTAGCAATCTGGAGACACGGTCGTATCTCGATTATAAGGAGAAGACCAGGTCTCAGTTCGAATCCCAGAGTGCCCTGATATTTTTCTCATGCTGTCGCTTCTTACAGCTTAATCCCACTTCTGGAGCTGCAATAAGCGACAAGAAAAATGACACTGATAGCTTCTCTATTGTGCCTATTTCCTCTAAATTTCTTAACTACTTTTTTACAAAGGACTTTACTCCTGCTGAATGATGCAATAACGCAATTGATTGCGAAATGTGTATTTATTGTAATTATGAGCAATATCATTTTTATATCAAATGAATTTATAGAGTTAATATTTATTTTCTTTCTACGTATAAAAAAAAATGCATAATGTACGATATACGAGTTTTCTTTTTGACTTCCTTCGTTTTATAAAAAATAACATTGTTTTTAAATAAACTAAAATAATTTAAGAAAATAGAATTAAATAAAATAATTTAGATATCTAAGAGATTACAGTAATTAGAGATTCGATTTGTATTGCGCATTATTTATTAATTCACTGATTTATTGGTCTAAGGGCAAACATGTGAACCGGATATAAACCACGTGGGAATTTAGTTTGCTGTTGTTCTTTAATACAAATAAGATCAGCCTTTTCAAATAAAGACCGTAAAGTTTTCATTGGTCTTGTTACGGAAGAGTCTTCCTTGTCAATTTCCATATTATTTGAAGTTGTGATATTTTCTTTCACCACGAGCACACCATTATCTTTCAGGCTCAATCTGTAAATTCAAATTACAAGGTAAGAAATAAGACTTTGTATTTCCTCTATAATAGAGCAAAAATATAACTCACGAGCATTTTCTAAAAAATTCTATTAAATCATTATCTTCTAAGTGTCCCAATACCCATTGACACCATATAAGATCGTATTTTTTTGGCGTAGGACAAAAGTTTTGCAATCCTTAAAAAAGATGAGTATATTTATATGTATGTCCTACCAAACTTCAGTCTTATAGATTATTTAGATTTTATTACCAATAGGGTAATATTGGCCGATTCTCGATGAACAGTTTTCCAGGGAGATCTTTGCTACCTCTAGAAATTTTGGATTTTGCTCAACGAGGTCTATATGTTTAAAAAATTTTAATAATAAGTTCTTCGTAATTCTACCAATACCAGCACCACAATCTAGGGCAAATGCTTTAGAAGGTGGATTTTCTATCTAAAACAGAACAATTTTTTTGAACATGTTTCTATCTAAAACCACAATTTTTTTTAACATGTTTCATTTCTTTCCATATATAACTTTCTAACTATATAAATAAAGCTAAAAGGCCTGTTATTTTTTTAGCTGAACTTCCTGCATAGTTTATCTTTCCTCTTTTTCTCTTCACATTAAAGAAAAAAAAGGAAAAAGATAAAGTGTGCAAGAAATTCAACTAAAAAGAACATAACTAAAATCTATAACATAGATACTGTGCTGAATCTATAAGAATCATTTGTGTTAATCAAAAGACATTAATTAATTTCAAGGAATCAAACTGACTCAATAAAAAATAAATACTAAGTCTATTTTAATAACAATAATTCAAATTTGCTGATAAAGAATATAAACAAGTGGGTCCAATTAATCCATTGTCAGCTTCAGAGGATTAAAAAAAAATCTACAATTTATTATAACTTTTAAAATTGATTTTTTCAACATTTTTATCTGAATTGTTTCAATTACGAATAAAAGTAAAATATGTTTCATGCAAAATTAATATAATAAGAGAAACTTTGCATAGGAATCTATTTTTTTTTTTTAGTATATTTTAGACTCATTCATTTACGAAAATTTAATACGTATATTCAATATACACTCTACTGTGTTCTACCTTGCGTAGAGATGTCTAATCTTTGGAATCTAGCATGCACACGTAATCCCAGCACATGTGCAGTTCATTTATATTAGGTTGATTAGATCAATATGACAGGTTTTATAACCCCAATAGTGGTCAACTTTAATAATTAATATTTCACTTTGCAAAACTGAGCACATTTTACAGCCAGAGTCTATTGTTTCATGCAAAAATGCGTCGAATGATCATAATTTAATTGAAATTGAAGATGAGGAGCGTTTTTTGGATAATTACCCAGAGAATTCGTGTTTTTAAAGCAGAGAATTTGTATTTTAAACTTTTAAAACAGAGAATTCATATTTTTAAAGCAGATAAATAAACAGTGAAAAATACTAAGCGCATGCGTAGATGGATTATGCAAAGCATGCTCTGGATTGAGCACATTTTATTGCCGGATTCTTTCATGCAAAAACGCGTCGAATGAGCATAATTTTATTGAAATTGTAAGGCGTCTTTTAAATAATTACCAACTTTTTTATCAAACACGCAAATGTTGAAATAGATTAACGAACTACGAAGGTAGCGATAGGTTAGACTATAACGATACATACCTCGAAGAGAGATTTTAAGAAGAGTGTAGAGCCCTTTATGTCTGTCTGCGAAATAAATCCGAAGCCTCCCAGCATCCCATCCACTGTGGGCGGGATGCGGTCCCAATATTTCGCGGCAGCGGTGTAAAATTCGTCCTGATACTCCTGACACGCGTTCGCGATATATCGCGGCTCTTGCATTTTCGCTATTTTCCGCACACTGTGATCTTCACTAATAAGTCCACGTTTACCCGCGTAATTTTGTCACGGCAATTCTCACATTCTTGCCGCGATCGATATAAAATCCACAAAAACAAGACACGATGTCGGAACACGTGATAACAACGATCTTTTGAGAAGAGTCCGAGATTCGTTCAACTCGATGTTCGTTCATTGTAGCTGCACTGTCTGCACAGGGATCACTGAGGTGCACTGTAGTGGCTGCTTTCCAATTGCAACAATCCCTAGACACTTTCGAGTTTCATGCACACGGCGACACAAGTTGCATTCCAATTGCCCGTTTATTTGCATATTTATATATTAGAAAGTATTTATTAACGTTGCTCTTTTTTTATGAAACTCGTGTGATACCGTTCGTACAGGCGAGTAATCGTGTCCCGCTCTTCTTCACATTTTTTTTTAAAACATAATCGCAAAAAGTGCTAAATATAATACGAAATGTTGTATTTTATGAATATTCACATAATACAATTATATACTAGTATGATTAATTATTCATTAAGTATAACGTTTCGTATTATATTTGGCATTCTTCGCGGTAAGATTTCAAAAAGTATAATGTGAAAAAGAGCCGCGCGCGACACGACTACCGGCTCGTACGAATCTCGGTAAGAGAATGACTGCGCGGTAATTACGCTGCTCCGTGCCACCCCGTGCCATCCCCACTCCAAGGCCGCGCGCCAACCGTCTAACCGTCGAAATATTAACGCGTATTACGAAGTAAAATAATATATTCTAAATTTTTAATGTTCTCCGATTAATGAAACAATTTCTTATATGTTCTAGTCTTAGCGGCGTTACACATTCACACTTTCTATTCTACACATGTAAGGCAAAATGCGGAATAACGTTGATTGATTACTTTAATGATACACTCGATTCCACAGACCTATTACGCATCGTGTGATTTCGACTTGAAGGTAAATTTTTATGATTCGACCGAGTATCACAGAATATAAACGAATGAAAAGCAGTACAAATAAACACTCCAAAAATGTACTTTATTGTTACTTAGCTTATTGATTTATATATACTTTGATGTAGCTTAATAACTTATAAATGTACTTTGATACAAATATGGTATTCGTATCATATTTTATGCTCGTAGAGAAACAAATTGATGAAAGACGTCCAAAATATGAGGATCAAGGTCCGGAGTGAACAATAAAGTTTCCAGAGTCGAGGAATACTTTTGTACTTGTTCTTGATGCTGCGAAACAAATACAAATCAATGTTTTCCAATTACGACAAAAATTATATATATATTATTTTAATATTTTACAGGGTGTCCTACAATGACGGCAAATTATTTCGTGTGCAGATATAACGGACTAAACGAGTCGAAGTCTTCCACTATTTTGCAATTTTCGCAATAGTTAACTAGATATTAATTTTTAAAGCTAGCCGAATAAGCGCGTCCATTCGACCTATTACTGCCAAGGATACGCCCGATCTCTCGACACGCGGATTGCAAGAAGCAAAGACTGTTTCGGTGCTTCGCGCTGCGCATTCTGTGAGCTAAACACCACGACTCGAGATGCGCTTGCCAGATAATGTTCGCTTTCATGTAGCCCGCGCGCTGAACAATCTATGGACACATGGTAGTAATAAGCCAGGCGGACATGCTTATTCTCGATAAAAAAAAATTCTTTAAAAATTAATATCTCATTAACTATTGCAAATATTGCAAAATAATAACTTTTTGATTCAATTTAGTTTGCTATACCTGCACACGAAATATTTTGCGATCATTCTGGGGCATCCTGTATATATCAATATTTCCCGTAATTATTAAACATTCGCATATAACAATAATCAGGCATATAGTAATAATAATAATTTAAAACTTACAGATAAGAAAACTTGTTGCAATCTCCCTATAGTCCATTTATACCAATGTGTGTTATAGTCAATTCCGTCTGTGTCACAACGCACTAAATGTTCTGATAGGATCATTATAAAACGCTAAAAAAAGATACATTATAATAACATCTTATTAAAATAGATTTTAGAAATTCTTTTATATCGTACCGAGAAAAATAGAATTCGCAATTTACTTTTAACAAAAGCGATTTAATATACGCTTTTTTTATACCTGAAATATAATAAGAAATAAATTTTTCTGATCTGCTTGCGCAGCTTCCAACTTTTCCTCCTTCCGTTCTACTTCGTCCTCCGATGGTCTTTCTCTATTTCTCTCTTTATTATTGTCCTCTTCATCTGAAGAGGAACCTGATCTACTTTCTGCTCTCCTCAGTTTCTCTCTTGCATCTGTTAATTCCGTACTCAACTTCGTCACATGTTTGTTCATTTTACGTATTGTCAAATGCAATATTTCCCAAATATATAATCTGGAAACATAAGTTTTTTATTGACATTCTTCGATATTTATCCACAATTATGATGATATTTCAAAATTAAATAAATGAATAGGTATTTTATCCAGACATAGCAGTGATACAAACTTTGTGAACTCCGATGCCATCTCTTTGGAAAATATCCAGTTGGCGATTGCACTACATTCAATGATACCAGTTTTTAAAAACTTGTCCGTTAGTACTACCATCATTTGATAATGATTCTTCCACAAAGCATACATGTTTCTTAATATACATATTTGTGCTTCTTCTGTTTC